CATACCTCATATGCTGGTAACCTCTACCATTAAAGACAGCACCTGAAGCTTACCCAGAGTGTTGGATTGTGAGTTATGATTCTCAAAGATTTCCTACAAAATTTCCTGTGTTCACCAATTGGCGGCTTCCTTCTAAAGCCATTCCAAAGTACCCATCATGGTTTATAGAGGCATGCATGATTTAGGCCCAGTCTAAAAGTATATGACTCTAGGAAAAATCACACACATTTTTGAAATTTTTAAAAAATGAACAGTACACAAGGAAGCAGGATGACACAAAATATATTTTTGAATATTAGGGATAAATAAATTCATGAAATAGATGTCACTAAAGTGGCAGTCACAGTTCTCAATACACTAGGATTTCTTTTTTTTTGATAAGACAAAAAGAAATGTCATCCCAAATATCCTGTGATAGTAAGTTACAGGGTCAAATGACAGGAGAGTCAAACTGAGTCAGGGAACTACTACTACTACATGAGGAATAGAGCAAGAATCGGCTGTATCTCCAAGCAAAAGGATTACATAGGTAGTATCATATCAAAGTGGTTTTTTTTCATGTATCAGGTTTTTTCCCTAATAGTGCAGGTTTTTTCCCTAATAGTGCAGATTTACTTGATTAACAAGCTGGGGGGGGGGGGGTTCTCAACAAACAAATGAGAATAGGAAAGATTTTGCTATTACGTGTTAAATGTTAGCAGTTTTTGAGGGGGTATAATACCCTGGGGCTGGGGGAAGGGGGTAGAATGAAACTTGCTGGCCAGGAAAACTCATTGAATAGATATTCAGGTGAATATAGTTATTCCTTATAACAACATACCAAGTTTTGTTTTGCCAGTACAAAGCAGCAGTATAGTACACCCTACTTACTCATATGCCAGACTACAGTCTGAACTCCATTTTAACATTTATCTTCTCCATGGGAAACTTATCTAATATTTGGTAACTTCACACATTCCACTTCATTATGGTGGGAGTTTTTACTTTTTACCTTAAATGGCTTGGGAAAATGGGCTTCATTTCTTCCAAGCTCCATAAAAAAATGTGACGTAATGCGTTATGATGTTCAACATTGAAATAGCTCTTAGAATTCCAAAGACCAACACTTTATAGACTGTACTCTGTCCAGCAGAGCTTTGGGACACATGGTGAATCCAACAGTAGGTCTTCTATTATTATAATACCGTTCACCTGGAGCAGATGAGTAAGAACTTATGTAAACATGGAAATTGGTCATATCCGTTATAAGTCTCTTCTTAGACCTATAAATACCAAGAACTAGTACTAAATTCTTGGATGTATATTAACACAGGGATCCATTATCTATGGATTGTTCCTTGGCAAGGTTTTTTAAGCAACTTTTTACCAGCACAAAGTGTGTATTTCTGGCAGCATTAAAACTTAGTGCATGTTTCCAATCTGTGTAGTCCTAACTTCCCACATAATATATTACACTTGATGGGTTCTCCATGGAGGTGCTTTTATACAGCTGTAACACAATTTTATATTGAAATTGGTGCACTGAACTCCACCAGGGAGCCTGCCCTAAGTTAGCTGAGCCAGAAAATGCAGCTTTAATCTTAGAACTGAATTTCTGCATAAGCAGTCTCTGTGTCTTTCTTAAGAGAATATCTGGTATTGTATTTTTTTTCAACTGAGCTTTCAGTTCAAGTCCAAATGATTTGATTTCTGAAATTAAGATTTTGCTTAGCTAGCAGCTGCAAAGCTTTCTGTATGTAATTTGGTGAAGTGGGCTGTGCAGAAAAAGAAAGCAGATCCTATTGTTTGAGATGCCTCCCATATGAAATGTATTCTGGTATTCTTGTAAGAATTATTTCCACATTGGAATTTGAGGCTTGAATCATAATGAATCAAGCCATGCTGATATAAACATAACACACCCGCACCCTTTGTTTTTCAGGGAGATATAATGTGCTTTTTAAAAATCTAACAATTTATTGGCTTCTTAAAAACTGTTAGGCTCAATATGGCTGGCACATTGCAGAATGTGCCAAAGACGACAATCCTATACACAGACTTACTTTTGAATAACTATGCTATAATCACACTCTGCCAAATTTAAGCAAGCATACCAACAATTAACATTAAACTGATCAAATCTTTTTTTCATTATTATATATTCAGATCTATGCACTCTACGGCTACAACCTGAGTCAATAAAATTCTAATTGCAAACAATGGGTTGCAACAAGAGTTTCTATTCTACTATCAGAAATATCCTCAAGCTAAGTTCTATTCAAAAGAAGAGTTTTATCCTACCATGTTACAGCAGATTCTCAATGGACATAGAGAACTACAAAGGGTGGGGTGGGAGTCAACAAATGTCAGAAGGCAGCTTTTTATCCAGAGGAGATTTCTACTGAATCCAATCCAATATTTCTATAGCAAGAAGTACACTTTGTTTTTAAAATACAAATGAGTCATAGTATGCATCATCTTAAGATAGCTTTCATTCAGAGATTACAAGACAGGGCTTGCCATTCAGTTTAATAAGCACTCATATTAAAAGATATCTGTTGACCAATCTATTTTTCTAGTAAATTAAGTGTTTTAATCAATAAATCTAGCCAGTTAATTGCCAAGACTGTAATATAAGCACATTCCTTTATAAAATGGAAGCTGTTTGCTATGATTGCCAAATTTTCATTTACACCCTTGTAGAAGATCCAGGCTATGTTGGATTGTTTTTTATTTCCATTGAATTATTCTCTTTTTATTGAGCAGATTTCTTCAGAAGCAAATTGAAACAGATCCACAGCAACTGAAAAAGAAATGAATGAGACCTCAGAACTACAAGCTTATCAATCATTCTTTTTAAGGCCAGGAGCTATATCACAGCATCAGATACAGAATCAATAAGAACATAATACAGTACTGGATAGCTGTTTTTCCCTAAAAGAAAGAAAAGTTGACCACATTTTTTTCCTAGCATCTGAAAAATACACATCAAGAATAGAGAAAATGAGTTAGAGATCAACTAAAAGTTCTATGTACTAGAAGCTAAAGAATTTCTGACCACTTTTTTTCCTCAATTTCCACAGGACATTTTTTTCTTTTATAAAAATAGATATTACACAGAGACCTTCTTTATTGCATAAACATATCTCTAGTTGATATTCCTTTAAAAACACCCCATATGTTTTATTTAGGAGTACAAATTTGTTTACAAATGCATAAAAATAGTTTTTCATGGCAAGTTATGGGTAATGCAAGGATACACTACAGTAATCTCTGATATCTATCATGGAGCAAACTGCAGTTTTGCAGAAAGGTAGTTTTAAGAAATGGCAGTGGAATTTAAATAATGGAACACAAAATCCTAAAATGTATTAAAACTAACCAAAAACAAAACAAAAAACAAAATTAGAAATCCCACTGAGTCAAATAAGGATTTTTGAAACCTTGTTATAAAGACTAAAGTTATTCTGTAATAGACAGATGAAATGGCTTTAACTGTGTGAGTGACAATACACTGATGTACACCTCTCCCAATCATATCCATGAACTCTTGACTGTGCAATGGCTCTGAATGGTGATTTACATCTGCAGTACACAATTTGAACCAGGGCCTGTTACTGATTATAAGAAGAAAGATCACCTGTGAATCTATGATCAAGAGGTGTTGTACTTTCTTACACTCATACACAACATGTGATGCTACAGACTATAAGAAACCTAGGCTGACTTTTCCCAATAGTGGAAATTGGCTTATCATGCTTTCCTAAAGCTACCTTACATTTTATAAGATTACCCAATGCAAGAATGTTCTGTGCATTCCAACACAAAAGGTGGTAGTGTGACTTAGAAAAATCCTTTGAAGCCACACAAAAAAAGGAAATTGAAAAAAGGAAAGAAAAAACAAATGAGCATAGCCATAAAAAAATCTGAAGAGCTCAGCAGCTGCAGCTATCATTCAAGTAATTTATAGGTGCATTAATGTTTGATTTTCTGAAAAAACATTTGTGGAAAATCGTACTGCTATGGTTGGGAAAATCCCAGTGAATCTGTAGTTCCATCTTGAGGGTCCCAGAAAAAAGAATTTCGGATCCAAGAGTTGCCTCTCCCTGTTCTTCAAAAATTCACAATGCACCCTAGAAAAGATCTAGCTCTTCTCTGCAAATCCATATTACAAAGGAAAAATTAGTAATAGGAAGCAAAGCAAGGAGCCTCACTGGTCTTCTCACTTGGTTGCTTCTGATATTTTTTAAAACACAATCTGAAATGCACAAAGGAGTATTATTTTGAAACTGGCACTTTATAGTGCAGTGATTCAAGAGTGAGGCTATCGTATCTGGGCTACTAAACTCTAGACAACCACTAAACTCTAACTCTTTGCAACCATCTAGTGACTGTCTGGGTTTTTACAGCTGAGAGATGGTAGCCCTAGAATTTCTACCCACTGGAGTTTTTAAATACAAGATAAATATATCCTAGGAGCAAGGACACAAGAGGATAATTGTTTAGGATGCAGAGCAATGCAAACAGAGTTATAAGTTACATAAATGCAGCAGTTACTCCATCACCTCATCTATGTGACCTCTAACGTCAAAGCAGAATCAGCTACATTGGTGTAATTATATGTATTTTTCATCATCTTCATCTCTTCCTATTAGATACTGCAGAATTTGGAGCCAGCACCTACCCATTCAAAGTTCAGCTTAACAAATCAGTAAAAGAGTATGAAAACAATAGTAATAAAGCTATGTTTATACTTTTCCCATGTGATTGTTTCTTATAGGACAAAAATGCAGGTACCAATGTCATCCTTAAACCATACCTTTCAAGGCGCAGGCTTGCTCTCTTTCCTATATGCACTGACAAGTAATTTTTTCCCATTTAAATGTATGAATTTTGGTTAGATTTTTCAAAAGGAGAACACAAACACACACACACAACACAGGACAGGCATTGGACTCGGGGCAGCATGTTTGTATAATTTGTAGGGAGTGCCACAGAAACAAGTTCAGCCACAAGACAAGTTGACCGTGCCTTCCCACAAGATAAACTTTATTGTGTAGTTTCAGGACAACAGGACTGCTAGTATTCACAGCTTATGATGCTGAGCACATCCTATTTCACACAACATCGCTCCACCACTCAGTGACAACCTTCTGAATTGACCTTATTCAACTCAAACAGAAAAAAGATTTTTTTCCAACCTGTCTTTCTTTATTATCTATATCTTTGATAATACTTTGATTCAGTGTACTTCTAAAACATTGTTTTCTGTGAAGAATCCAACCTTTAAGCTGCTTTAAAAAAACATTCTTTCAATTATTTTTTTAGACCTTCCTCAGGAAGAGGGGGAGAAAACACCTCTTCCTTTCTTGTTGAAGAGAAGCTATCTAAGGAGCTGCAAGAGTTCACTGCACCCGCTCAGTGAAATTCTCTGGGAAAACTCCCCGGCATTGGTCAAATTCTTTGTGCTGAAGCCAGTCAGATTCTTTCACACCCATCAGCCATCCTTCATCCTGGCAGAGACAGAAGAAAAAGAGGAAAAGTTGGTACAACAAACACCAGGGTATTATTTGTCTCTAAGGTCACTGAACCTGAACTTTAAATCAAGCAATAAAGTTACTTATTGGTGATAAAATTATTATCAGTTATTACTGCAGTTGTGAATAGCCATTGTGTTCCTTCTCACCCCTCTGGGGTGCTTGCAAGCAGGAAGTGCAGTACAGACATACTCCTTTCCCACAGTTGTTCCTGCATTTGGAGGCAAGCTACTCCCAACCTAGAGGGACACTGAGTTTTCAAGACCAACAGCCCTTGACAGAACTGTCTTCTACAAATTTATCTAATACTCTTTTAAAGCTATCCAAGTTAGTGGTCATCACCACAGTTTGTGGCAATGAATCCCACAGGTTAATTATTACCTGTATGGAGAAGTGCTTTCGTTTGTCTCTTCTAAATCTCTTTCCAGTAATTTGATTCCTGGTCCGAGTGTTTTGAAAGATAGAAGAAAGACTCCCTCTCTCCTTTTCCCATGCCATGCATGATTTTATATTTATCTTTCCCTTAAGTCACCTTTTTCTCCCCCAAGCTAAATAGTCCCAAATATCTACACAGCTCCTTTGTCGAGGTTCTGACTTGCCAGTTATTGTGGACAGGTCCTTATACTGGAGCCTCCATCTCAAGGCCAACTAATGGCTTAGGCAGGCTGAGGATGGATCAAAGAGATCCGGCAAGGAAGTGGGAAAACAGTGCAGCCCCTTCATTATGCATCAGTTCATCAATGCATGGAAGAGAAGGCTGAAATTGGTTGGTGACCAACTCTAGCCATAGAGTTCTGAATCTCCAGGAACATTTCTCCCTTGGTTGTTGGCGAGAACAGCCTTCCCCAGCAGCCAATTTCCCCCCTTTTTAGCTCCAGGTTGATATTCCTACCAGCAAACCCCACTGCCTCTCTCCACAGTGTTCCTTGACTTTACCTCCATGGTTTCTGGAGAATACTGCTGCCACTCCCATGACAGCTGGAAGAGAGAGGGGGGCAGCAATGCTGTCCAGCAAGCATGGGAGTAAAGGAGAGAAATCACCAGGTGAGAGACAGCAAGAGATCCATGCTGGGGTGGGGAGAAGAAGAAGGAGTCAGCAGAGAGGGGAAGGATCTATGTCCTTTCTCCTCACTTCCCTGCCAGCAAGCATGCAGCTAAGGTGGCATGTAGCAAGGGATCTACACTGGGGGCGGGAAGATGAGAAAGAGTTCCCTTTACTGCTCCTTACTGATTGCCAGCAGCTTCCCCCCTTCCCCCCACACATTGTATGAGACCAACAACTTTATTATTTTCATTTTTGAGGCATGGCAAACAGACAGCAATTTTCTAGTGTCCTCCTGTCTCAAGGTCAGAAGGAAAGCCCATGGGCAGGGCTGTGGGAAACAACACTATGATGAACTTCAAAGTACAATAGAGAAAGAGAATATCCCCCATCATGCAAAATTCTTTCCCCAGCCAAAGACAAGTTGGGGGAATGCAGTTACTAGAGCTGGACAAAGCATTCAAAAGGAGCACTTTGAAAAGTATTGCTTTTCAAGACTTGCACTATCTTGTTACTGATTGGTGTGATTATGTGATTTACGCTTATGGCTCAATGGTAAAGTTTTGTAACATTTATTTGCAAGTTTTTGTATTTTTTACTCCTTTTAAAATTTATATTATTGATGTTATGCTTTTACAGGATATGCTTATCTATTTTACAGTCCTGGTCTATAAATACTTCACAGGGCACATTGACATCAGCTAAGCACGCCTTCTAAAAGCGTTAAAGCAGCCACATCCTTCATAAGGCTCGACTGCTTCAAAGGCTTTCTCCGGTTGCCTGCACCTGTTGAGGCAGACAAGGCACGTTTGTTGCTGGGAATGCCAGCAAACAGAAGTGACCATGTACGCACAGCCACGCAGAGAACTGGAGGAAAGCCTCTAAATCGACACCAAGCCTTCTACAGGTGAGGCACCCTTTTTAATGTTTGATATAGCACTAGTGTTTACAATTAAACCACAGGGGGGGAAATACAAGGTAAACAAAATGTACTATTGACTAAGAAATATTTCCAACCCCGGTTCACTCTCTTTACAAAAAGGAATGAATGAAATCAAGACTTGTCCTCTGTATAAGAACACAGCGCCATCTACTGGCATCCAAAAAGAGCATGAAAAGAGAGAAGAAAACACTGTACTGATAAATTCCATCTCAGTTTTTAGATATTTGCAGGGCAGAGAGAGGGATGAAAAGCAATTATTATGAAATCAGAAAACAGCAGAGAGTACAGTAGTGGATAAGTTAACTCACCTTTTTAGGATGAGGTAATTAAGGAGTCCTTTTTAATACTTAGAAAAATATTCTGCTGGTTGAAAGGGCAATGAGACCCTCCACTGTAGTGTTCTGATTTCCTTTTCCTGTCTTAATCAGGTAAACCAAATAGCTACAGACTGATAGTTATATATTGTATAATTTAAAAAGTAACACTAACCAAAGATAACCTCCATCTGGATTAGGAAATTCAATATTCACTATTCATCTCATACTGCAGATCTCTATCAAACCACATCGTTCTCATGCAACATTGGGTTATACTTAGGAAAAACATCCCATCATTTTAAAGAAATAACCTACTACTTGAAAGAGTAGAGATTTACTAATTCTTTTGTCTATCATGAGGTTAAACTGAAATGTTTGACTTGCCGAAGGTCACATAACGTGCTCCATTGTCAAATGCAGATTTGAACTGAAGTCTTCTTGAAACTGGACCACTGCCGGACTTCACAAACCATCTTAGTTATGCAACACCCCTGCTACGTTATCTCCATACCTGCTCCTCTGGATTCTCAAATGGAATCACCAGGACAACATCCCCAGCCTTCAGCTGCAATTCATCACTGTCAGTAGCTGTGTAGTCATGCATGGCTTGTACCTGCACAAGAATAATGGTTCCAGTAAGGCTTAGGAGAGATCTTATATCTATACATATCTAGTACAGCTGAACTCTTACAGTGCAGCCTACCCACTGCTCCTTAATCTCTTAAGTATTCAGGAAAGCTCTATGATACACAATGATTGTACTTTTAGGGAAATGAATGCTGTTGCCTTCAGGTTATGCTTTCTACGGTTTTAATAGTTTTATTTTTTTTAATTATTTTTTGGGGGGCAGTTATTTTTTGATTGGTTTTGTATTGTTTCTTGGATTTTTAACGTTGTAAGCCACCCAGAGTCACAGCAGTGAGATGGGCAGCTATATAAATTTAATAAATAAATAATAAAATGAAATGTTAGAAGTTATACATTCAGTAACAGCTTATATCCAAAACAGTCTACTCTATTTACCTTTCTTCTTACAACAGACATTAATTTATCAGTATTACATGTGATGCTGGTGAGTTTCCTGCATCCAAACTAAACTCATATAATACTGCGCACTGAGTTCTCATCAAGGGCTTCCTCAAGTGAGTCCATTCTCCATTTTACAGCTTCAGTTATTCAAGACGCATAGAATGAAATGCATTCTGGGGTGGCTGCGTGGCTAGGATGAATATTCAGGTGTGTCTCCACCACAAACGCTTACCTTGAAGAGGAACCCTGGTGGCATGTCAGGCCTCTCGGAGTGGGCTCCACTCTCATCTGTTCCATTGACAGTGGCTGGGAAAGTCTCCACCACTACAGTGGGCAGAGAACTCTGAAGGAAATAAAACAGGGTTAAAGGACTGAAGTTAGGCCCAGTTGAGAAATAACATAGAGGACCAATGCAAATCATCCCAGTAACCATTTCTGAATATGAATCCTTTATTCAAAAATTCATTAAGTATCAGTACTTTGTGGAGGTTAGGAATTAGGTATGAGGTGTGGCTGAGGTAAAGAGAATGATTTATGTGAAGATGAAAAGGAAACCACAGAAGGCAATAAATATTAGAGGGAAATTGGTGTGCATAAAGATTAATGGAATAAATAGCAGATTCTACTACAAGACATTTAGGTTTGTAGTAATAGGCAGAAATTCTGGACAATTTCCTCCCTTTTTTGATCCACAATTGATATTCGTGTTTATCGTGGAAACATCTAACTTCTGTGTCCTCAGCATCATTCTCATTCCCAGCAGTAACAGCTCTTTGTGATTTTGTAAGGGTAACAAATTTCTTGCCTTGGGCCAGATTTCTTAGTGTAACTAGATATACTGAGCAAATGAAAGCTAACTTCAGCAATGGGAAAAGTTTTAAAAAATGTAGCTCCAGCTGTTGGGCACACATAAAAGTTCCAAGATGATTAACTGGGACTGAATATATAAGCAGATATATTCTTCCTAATTCAAATGAACTGCAAATGCTACAGGAATATGTTTAGCTATTTGCATCAAGGAATTTTTTTTAAGAGAAGACCATCTATGGATGAGTAACAGGCTTTGTTCCATAGTCCAAATCAACAGAATCTCCAATCAGGGATTCAGTCCACATGGCACTGCTCAAAGAGCTAAACCTTTTAGCTTCACATCTGCTTGTCCTAAACATGAACAACTGTTAAGGGAGAACGAGACCCCCTCCTCCCTCTCCCTTGCCTACTGTCTTACTGAGGCAGATCCTGAATCAGTTTCGGTTTTAGCTGCTGCTTCAGCTCCAGCTGCTCCTTCTTTGCCAGCTCCCTCAGCCTCAGCAGGAGTGGCTTCTGTGGACTGCAACACAAAACCCAGTTAAACTCCTGGATCTCAAAGCGCCTAACCAATCCCACACCTTTGCAGAGACTTGCCATGACCTGCTCTGTTTTTAGGGCTTATCTGAACTATGGGTCTCTGCAGGTCAAAGCTGAACAGGTGGCTCTCTTAGATGAATAGCCACATCCATGCTGCAAGCTGCTTGGCATCGGTACACTCCCAATTCATGTACTGTATTGGCAGGTCCGTGTTGCATCACCTTCATGAGAAGAAAGTAGTCTTAGGCTAGAATGTTAGCTTTTTTATAAATTCCTAGGGTTGCCTTGTGTGGGTCAAGCTCATCTGTCCTCTGATATTTCTGTACATGAGGTTTGAAGGAAGTTCATCTTTCTACATGCTCCTGTACTGTTTCTCTTCTTGTGGAAGAGAAAGCAGAAGCATGATTTGACCATCTGTATGAAAGCTAGCCAATTAAGATGATACATTTCCATTATAACATTGCTTGAAGCAAGAAAGGTTTTACACCTTCACATCTAAAAATATTCTTGGCAATCATCTCTACACCTTTCCACAGCTAGCCCTTCCTTCAGCACATAAATCAAGAGCATGTCCAGGATTTCCTGATTTCCATACAACTGCCAAATGTCAGGGTTTTTTTCCCACCACCACTATTGTTCCTATCCATGTGAAACCTACCATATCTATTTTATAGTTCTTTGCTGTTCTGTTAAGTAAAATATTTAAATGTGGCTGACAAAGGGACTGGAGAACTAAAAGGAAATTATGATTAATTCGAATTTGGCAATAAGCTTTCTTTCAACAACAGAACCTGCCTCTTTGAGGAAATAGGATACAGTAGTAACGGATAGACACAGAGCTGATATTTTTACTCTGCAACAATTTAAAGAAATAATCAGCCAAGAAAAAAATGATACCATATGAACATGAGCAGAGTTAACTGCAGATGGGGAAAATTATGATATGACCATACAATAGAGCTCCCCTCGCACACATGCACTGTCATCATCTGTTATGATCCAGCTAAGAAACAAAATTCTTAATCCTAGAGTCATCCAGACTAAAATGTGAATATGGTAATAGACCACACTGAAAACAAGGTTATCAGATTTACTACTGTTACCCAAAACAAGTGTGGTTGGGGGTCACAGTTTAGATTTTTATTTTTCTATTTTCAGCACCCACCCATGGTCCACAAAGGTGAAGCTAGAGATGTAGTAATGGCACATTCAATTCTAAAGCCAAGCTTTCACAAGATTTCCTATTGGCCAAGCAGATACTTTTGAGAAGATCTTAAGTATAGCACATAGGCAATAAACCTGTCCTCAGCTGATATTGCCATACTGCCATCATCAGAAGCCCTTTAAGACATCCTCCACAAATTTGTCCCATCTCTTTTTTGAAGCCATTAATTCAAAACATTAAATTTATTGTCGCAGAAAGAAGAGTTTTTTTGTTGGTGGTGGTCCAGAACCTGAGTCACGGCTTTAGTATTATGAGAAAAAAATACTACTCTGCCAACTTTTTATGCACCATGCATAATCTCCTCCATTAGCTGCCTTTAAAACAAAAACAAAGGAAACTAAATAACCTCCAAACAAAATATAAAATATTAATCTTCTGAAAAACTTGAATATTTCTAAAAAGAAATATAATTTCTGAAGCTATATAAATCAGGACAATGGGATATTCTATATTATACATTTGTATAGATTACATTACTATACTACAGTATATTAATTACTATGCTATACATGACTATAACATATAACACAGGGTTGTGTTATAGCCACAAGGGAAAAAAATTCTAAAATCCCAAATTTAAAAAAAGGTATTACCCAACTATGGATTTTGGATTTTTTTTCTTAGTATATGAAATGGATGCCCACGCAAACTTAACAGAAAACGCCTCCCTCAAGTCTGAATTGACTTCTGGTGAATTTGGGGGCAAGTCTCTGTAACTTGTCAGGTAACCACACAAAAGAAGTTTGCCATGGCATTCTGGGTACTGGGTTACTTCCTAATCTAGCCTTTTAGTCTCCCATCAAGAGGTAGTCAGTCTAATCCACTTAACTTTCCAAGATCAGCTACAGTAGCTGCTGCCACCTGGCACAGCCATGGAAACATTACTAAAGAGATAATAGAATGAAACCGCTGCTGGTATAAATACAATATTTGCAATTTGGGGGTTGGCAAATATATTATCAGTTCTCAGATATTACCCCTGAGGATGAACTCAGTAAAAATAAACCCACATACATACACAATCGCACATGCTGATGAACTAATGGGATCTCTTTTTTGTGATTCAGATTCATAATGGTATCCTCATGTATGGCAGGATCAGAGCTTATTTTATTATCTATCATCTATCTATCTATCTATCTATCTATCTATCTATCTATCTATCATCATCTATCTAGCATGTATAAACTGACTCCCTATCCTTCAAACCTCCTTTATATTTTTATTGTTTGCGGGTGAAAAACAGAATTTAACCAAATTTTAACTTAGGTTAAACACCAAGCTAAACTTGTATTTATGACCCAGCATGTTTTGTATTCTTTTCTTGATGATGATGATGATGATGATGATGATGATGATGATGATAACAAAAAATATCATAGATGGAAGTTATATTCTGTGAACTTAGTAGACAAAGAACAGTGGAAACTCTTTTTCTTTGTACAGTATAATCTTTATATTATTTTTTTCTAAGGAATGGAATATTGCTATAAAAGCATCGGTTTATTCTTCATGGACTAACAGGGGAAAGGGGTGTCATGGACTAATAGGGGAAAGCCAAGTGTCTGCCAAATGAAGAATGAGTGGAGAACCAGAAATGTGAGGAGGAAGAGGCAACACAAGTTGTGTTTGAGCATCACAGCTACAATCAAAGGCAACTGTGACAACCCCAAGCCTGTCAGATCAGCATGTTGAAGACCTGCAACCAAGTGACACATGGACACTGGGGATCAGAGCCTAGGAGCACCGGAGTCAGAATGGTCACCTAGTCTTAGGGACCAGGCCAATTCATGAGCTAGAGGAGCTTGCAGAGACAGTGAAGAGAGTGCCATAGTTAAGCAGTGGAGTAGATACTGGATGGTGTTAACTGTTAGGACCTTTGGGATCTAAGAAATGTTGTCAGTTAAATCTTAAGTCCAATAAATCAGGGTTTACAGCTTATATATTCCAGATGTTATGTATTACCATACAACTCACAAGTATATGATCCCTTGTATGCTTCATTAAATACAGCACACAAAAATTATTATATGCACTTTAAAGATAAACAAGCTAGGTAAAATGAAGATGGTCACCCAACCCTATTCTCCAGTTACTTCTGATCTCATCTCATGTGTAATGAAACAAAACAAAACAAAACCTTCTCTAGTACAAAACCATTTTCTAGAACAAAACGGCATTTGCTGCTACCCTGAGTTGCCTGAAGAAGAGGGGCATATAAATCTTGGTACAAAATATATTTGTAACCAATCAGAATTTTGTTGATGCCTATGGATACAGTTGGCATTTTTCAAATGTTTTGGGTACAACATTAAGACTTCAAAAGGCAGGCCATCCCTAATGACCATTATAAACAATTACATTTCTACTTACTTGGCTGATAACCTGAGTTGGCTGATTGGCCAGTCTACCACAAATACAGTATTGCTAGGATTATCGGCAGGAAACTGATCCGTAGATTGCACAGTGTTAGAGGGAGTTTTTTCAGGCTGGCATACAGAATTTGAAGGAAAGAGGGAAACAGAAATTGGGCAGCAGGGAGAGAAAGTCATGGGTACGGGAAGATACAATAATGAAAAGAATACTGTGAGAAGACAGCAGGCAGTGAAAATGTTCCAGGGTAATTAGATGTGCTGGGCAGATAAGATCCAACTGCTTTATACCTTTGGACAATTAATAGGAGAAAAGCAGTGCAATATTATTTATGCAGTCAATCCTCTAGCAAAAGTGTGAAATAGTTTGACAGGGGGAGGTGGGGAGGGTATGCAATGTTAGTAATGTAGGCAGTGCTATACTGAGTTTATTTAATAAACACATCTGTATGCCACCACAGTCAAAAATGACTCTCGGTAGCTCACATTAAAAAATGTAATATAAAACAAACCCCATATAAAAATTAAAAATACAATGACACTACAAAAATAGAAAGAGAATAACAGACAGCAACAACAGCTCAAATCAGGGGCAGGCCCTCCAAAACAAGCTAGATCTTTAGAAGCTTGTGGAAACCCAACAAAGAGGGAGCCAGTGTGATCTCCCAAGGGAGGATATTTCACAATATTGCCCCTGCAACAGAACAGCAGCACCTCCTTGCCTCAGCCCCAACCCCCTCCAAACCTCCTGAAATAAGGTCATTTTATGTGGAATCTCATTATATTGCTGGTTCTATTTTAAAAGGACACTTGGCCTTTATCTCCAGTTGTCCTTTCTCCTTAAAATCAAGATCTTGCTGGAATATAGAGAACTAAACATGAATAAAGAAACACTGTTGTCTGTGCATCAGTCATAAAGAAAATCAGCCTTCCAGGGAATTCCTGGATATTACTGTAAATTGTTGTTTTATCCTGAATAGATCTGAAGGATAGATTCTGAAATAACTTTCCACCTTCCCTACCAACATCTGGCATCGATATCATCTCTAACTCATTGTCTGCTCATCATAAATGGCTTTTTCTAGCAACAGAAAGCATGGAAAACCCACACTAAGCTTCTGTGTTCAGAGTGATAATTATGCATTCCCACTGAGGATGGTTTACAGTCGTGCGTAATTAAAACTGGATCTATGGTCTCAATGATACTGATATTTAATTAAATGGATATTTAATGGAGGAAAATTATTAGTAACTAACAAGGCACAGCCCAGACAGAATAGTAAAAACACTACTTGAAATCAAGTGAGCTACACCCAACAATCACTTGGCCAATGATGATTTCAGTCCCAATGTTAGTCTAAAGCCATTACTGTATAACTGCGTAAT